TATTTTAAATTAGTTTTAATATGTCTTATAGAACATACATGTAATGGCCCTTGTTCTGATCCCATAATTATGAGACAAAAATTAGCAGGCGCCAGTAAACGCAAAGCTATATTTATATATAGACGATAATTTTAATAAATATATTTTTAAAAATTTTAATAGAAAACGTTCAATTTTAAAATTACATTAAAATATATAGTTCTAATAACGTAATGTCAATAAGCGTATGGAATAAAATTGAAATCCGTTTCAATAAAATAAAAGAGGCAATTGATAAGTTAAATAAATTAGCAGACTTGAATTTATGAAATTAGTTTCCAACAACTACCGAAAAATGTATAGTTCATAGATTTATTTTTTATTATATTATTACACATATTAGATATTTTTTAAGCACATAATTAATATTTGAATTTTATTTCAATGTTTTGATGACTATATTTTCTTATAAACTATATTTTTATTATTTTTTACAAAAATATATATACATTCTTAAGACAGTTATCTATTATAATTTATTTACCTTTGGTAAAACGCCATATTTTGTTTATAAAAGTGTACTTATGTGATAAAATAAGTAATTATCCAAAACGATGTGACTGTATTTAGAGAGTGGTTAAGGAGGGCAAATGTCAATTGATGGCGATGGGAAAAAAATATTGTAAAAAATTACTTTATTTTACACATTAATATTAATACCCCACGCAAAAATCATAAATACAGACCTGGACGTAACATTGAATTCTATAACTAATAAATGCCGAAAATTTTGGTACGGGAAGCTGCCTACCATGGATAAAGCTAAATGGTTCTCAAATTTTTTATTAGATAGACAGGTAGAAGATCAGTTTGGCGGAAACGAAAAAAACGACCTTATTCAGATTTGGCGGAAACGATACGGTCAATTTTGGCGGAAACGACGAACGCCCGTTACCTCGTACGAAACTGTATATATACTTGATAAGTATTGTAATTTTCTAAATAATAATTTTAATCTCTACAGGCCTTGTTTACATAGAAACGAGAATTAATCCTATTCAATTCCCACTTAACCGTTGACAGTACTGTAATAAACCAAAAAAAAAATATAAAAAACCTTCACGGACAGTTTCCTAGAATTTATGCTCCCGTGACTACATATTTCATCTGCTATAGTCTTCAATTTTTAACACGCTTATATTAGTTTCACGTGTATGTTGTTTGTTGTTTGTTGTTTGTCGTTTGTTGTTTGTAAGTTTGTAACTCCACGCGGCACGTGTTATTATGTCGCGTATGCCGTCGTCTATGACCTTGAGACTAGACCGTCGTAACGCATTCACCCCACCCCGCTCACCAGTCGGCGCCAACACTATTTTTTTCTGTATAATTTTGAGTATTTGACTGACCAACACCGCGCGTTATACGCCGCGGTGCAAAGTCCAGCAAGTGCCGCACGGCCGACGACGTACCGCCGCTAATGATACCGTAGTATTCTTCCTGTTGTCAAAGTGGCAACGTCAATAAACCGATCTCCACTCGCGCACCGTCGCCATCAACGCTGCTAACCTTTTGACGCCCGAGGATCACGCCGGACATCGCGTCGTCGACGCCAACGAAAGTGCCACGATATTATGCGAAGATTATATATTCTTACCATCGCCGCTAATATTAATATATATATACATATATATATTATTATTTATATATACGTATATGTTAATATTCATTTATATATCCCTACAGCCGACGCCGCTGCCGCCATATATGCCTCGCGCCCCGCCCGCCAACAAAACACAGCTATACCTCGTGCATGATACGTTTACGTACTTAAGTCGCTTTACATGTATATATATATATATATTTATTACTATTAAAACTTATATATTAATACGCTTTATTCTCATTAAGAGATATATAGGGTATTTATTCCGATTACAAAGGATGATTCCCGTATCGTCATTTTACGTCACTACCTCCACGTTGCGCGCCTGCTGCTTTCCTTGGATGTGGTAGCCGTTTCTCAGACTCCCTCTCCGGAATCGAACCCTGATTCCCCTTTACCCGTTACAACCATGATATTGATAGTAACTACTATCATAACATGTAACTAAAAAGTGAAAAATAAATATAGTTTAAAAAAACTAAAAAACACGCTTTTAAAGAACATCGAACTAAAAATTATTTTTAACTTTTTAGTTCGATGTTCTTTAAAAGCGTGTTTTTTAGTTTTTTTAAACTATATTTATTATGTTGATATAGAAACAAAACTCAAATATATTTAATGAACTGTCTGTTTTTAAGTATTAACTTACACATACAGTAAACTAATTGTTTTATTTAGAAATAACTTGCATGTACTATGTATGTAGTAGTTAATATTTTATATAGTATATGAGATATGTAAATAAGAATAAGATAAAAGAATATAAAATAGTTAGATTTAAAATAATAATAATAACAATGGATTGCCTAAATGATAGATATGGCTGGTTTTAAGGGAAATAAAAATATAATATAGCGGATATATAGCCGTATAATAGAAAATTAAAAAAGGTAATAAATGGCGGAATGACACGTGTTTAAATATGGAAAAAATGTGTAAGGGTGAAAGAGTGCAATAATATGAATAAAGAAGGATTTAGAAGGACGAATAAACGTAGATTAAATACATGAGGGTAATAGTCAAAAAAATAAAAATGTATACAGATGTCATGACAAAATGACTGATTGATCTCAAGATTGAATAATATTAAATAAATGATGTTATTATCCCGCAAAATTTTATTACCTATCATAATGGTTTCTTACACAATAGAATGTTTGTAATTTGAAAGCAAAAATTTAATTTTGTATTTACCTTGTATTCTATGTATTATAACAATTNGTTTGTAATTTGAAAGCAAAAATTTAATTTTGTATTTACCTTGTATTTTATGTATTATAACGATTATTTCAAACAATCAAATGTTAATGATGAATTCACACTGTATTTCATATGCTGTACACTACGAGTTTGACAGTGAATATGACTGTTTGAAAATAAAGCATTTAATTATAAATAATGCCAAACCGTTATACAAAATCTATGACTGTTTTATTATATGCAAGAGATTCTACACACTCTACTGTGTTTTTTTATTATAATTATAATTAAACAATATAACCTTATTTGACTTTGTAGAATGAGTATATTTTTTATGAGAGTATATTGACACTAATATTTTTTTAAATATTCCTCTAGTCTGACCAGAGCAAGATTCAAAAGTATTAATATCTGTGTAAAAGATTTATCAAGGCGGATTTGTGGTGGCCCAATGTGTCCCGGCGGTATCGTCTAGAAGGATGCGGCACAATTATCACCAAGACAAAAATTAAACACTAAAAAATATATTCGTAAGTTTTTTTGTGCTGTCTGCCGGCGCGATGTCCGTTAGAACAAAGACATTAAACTCAATGACTAGATACCCAATATACTTAAAAATATATTGTAACCTAATACACCTAACTTTAAAAATCTTTAATTGCAACCTTTACTCTGTCTGCCAGCGCGATGCTCGTTAAAGCAAAGACATTAAAATGAATGGCTTAGCTACCCAGTAAGTATAGAGTTGCAATACACTTAGTCCAATAAAATTATTACTAAATTAATTTAAATTTGGAGCAATCGTAACCTTTATTTCATAATAAATATTTACCATTAAATTAATAATTCAAGTTGATTTGGGTTTATTATAAAAAATAAAATAAAATAATCTTTAAAAATGTTTGAGATTTAAAATATTAATTGAGATTTATTTCCTCAATAACATAAAATATTATTATTTTGTTACGTCGCTATTTATTAAAAAATTCACTTAAAATTTTTAAGTGTCATTTAGTTTTAAAGAATAATATTCTAAGTCCAAATTAATTACAAAATCAAATAAGTCCCGTAGAGTGAAATCTTGAGTAGAGTGCCGTAGATTTTGTGTATTTTAAAATCGCCGAAAGAACTTATTTTAATAGGAAAAAATGAGTTTTTATAGTAGATGAGGGTCGTGAAGCGATCCATTAGTGTGATCTTGAAAACTGTAGATTTTAATTAATAGTTAAATGCGATTGTCTGGACTTAATTGAAAACCCACACATAGGCGTTAATTTGAATCTGTACAATAATTAGATTTATTTCTTTAGTTTGTTGATTATTTTATGTTTTAAAAAAGGGAACCCTGTTTTGGAGATCTTGTGAATTCATAATATATGACATACATGTACAAATAGTTTAGCTCTTCGTACATACGGCAGTCTTTAGTAAAATGTGATTTATTTAATATAATACTTTAAAATTTAGTCCTAATTTAATAACTATTAGGATAAATACCTTTTTTCGATTGTTTCTTAGTTATGTTTCAAAATACTCAATTTTATTTGAGTATTTTAATACTCAAATAAATAGTAATAAATTAATAGTATTTTAATTAATTAATTTAAGTAGTTTAATTTAATTTTACTTCAATTTTAAATATTAAAGATACTGGATAAAAATAACTATTCAAATTATTTAAAAAAAATTTTGGTGTAATTATTAAAA